TCACTTTATTAAATGTAATTACAAGTATTTTTCGCTGCACGTGTGGGTTTATATGTATATTAGTCCTTTCACTTTATTAAATGTAATTACAAGTATTTTTCGCTGCACGTGTGGGTTTATATGTACATTAGTCCTTTCACTTTATTAAATGTAATTACCAAGTATTTTTCGCTGCACGTGTGGGTTTATATGTACATTAGTCCTTTCACGTGCAGCGAAAAATACTTGTAATTACATTTAATAAAGTGAAAGGACTAATGTACATATAAACCCACACGTGCAGCGAAAAATACTTGTAATTACATTTAATAAAGTGATAGAGGTTGTGTTCAAAAGTTTTTACCTTTATTCTTCGTCCTTGTGTATATATGTTTTTTTTTCTGCTCTAGGAGAGCGAGTATTCATTCCATGCGATATTAAAATACCTCTAATTAGATAGCAACCTCCACAGGACTGATAATGTCTTACGTTTATCCCAACTCTAGGTTGTCGCCTTTAGGTGTCCTTTTCTTAATCGCAGCTAAGATCTTGGAAATGAAAGATTTCTCTGTTGTGGTGGGGCAGCTTGGGATGTATACTGTTACTGTCCTTGTGGGGTTGTTTCTCCATGCCATCGTCACACTGCCTGTTCTGTACAGTATAGCCACGCGGTCTTTACCGTTTAAGTTCATATCGAACATGATGCAAGCTGTAACAACTGCCTTCGGAACAGCATCAAGGTGAGAACAAAACTTTCATGGCACTTTGTGTGAGTGCTCACTGGGTGTTTTTCGTAAATATCTGAACTTTTAAAATCTGTATTCAACCATCATCAAGGTTGATGATCATTTACTACTATAGAGGGTGGGCCATAAGTGAGTTTACCAAATTATTGAATCAACAGTTTATTTAACGAGTTGTACAAGTTGAAATGTAGTGTGTTTGTTACTCAAAAGGTGAATGAATACGTTTTATATTATTCTACAAGACACTTTCCTTTCTTAAAGCAAGTTTTAAAAAATATCGACTTTCCTAATTTACCCAAAATTCATAACGTTGAACGACATATTTTTTGACACAGTGGTGCCTCTTTTTATTCATCACGTGAATAAACTCTTTCTTTGGTTACTTTCCACACTGCAAGATAAGTAAGCTGAAAAATCCTTCGGGAAACTTACTTATGACCTACTATGTGTAAATTCACCATCCTGGGTTTAGCTTCATTAATTTTATTGTAGTTCGTAAATTGTCCAACAGATGACACTAAACTAGATTATTGAACTATACGATTCCGGTTAAATTAATTGTTCATACCCTCCTCGTTATAATTTTTATTCAACAAAAATGTTATACTATTACAATAATTAAATGTTTAACAGCGCAATATTTCCCCAATCTTATTTAATGACTAGATTCAGTTTGCTATATATTTGAATAATTTGATATGATATTGATTTTTATACAGTTCAGCAACGCTACCAGTGACCTTCACCTGTCTTGAGGATAAAAACCTAGTGGACACAAGAGTGTCGAGATTCTGCCTACCGATAGGAGCCACGATCAACATGGATGGAACTGCGCTTTACGAGGCAGTTGCCGCCATCTTTATAGCGCAAGTTCGAAACGTGAGCCTGGACGCTGGGAAGATTATTGCGATTAGGTACGGCTGTCTTTAAAGTTCCAAATACTCATCCCTGCAAAAAAAAAAAACAAAAAAAAAACTCAAAACAAGCATGTTAATACATCTATGATGAGTCGGACGTGAATCGGTGAATAATGAATTTTATTTCCTGTTTTTTAATTCAAAAACATCTTACTATAGAAGAATGGTATCGCAAAATCATGTCTACAAATTCCCACAAATTTAACGTTTTTATGTTTTCTGTCTTTTCAATCTCCTCCAAAATATTAAATAATCCCCATTTTTCTAGCATCACTTCAACAGCAGCAAGCGTTGGAGCTGCAGGAATACCCCAGGCTGGATTAGTTACCATGGTGATAGTACTGAATGCCGTTGGTTTACCAGCAGAAGACGTGACTCTTATCTTCTTGGTTGATTGGTTCTTGTAAGTGTATACATATATGTATATATATATATATAGTGCAAGTTTGTAATGCTTTCGTTATAGTGTTCAGTTCGTTATATCTTGTGTAATCTTAATAGGTCTACGTTCAATTCTAAATTACGTAATAAGTAGTTTATAAATGTTAATTTCTGGTTTCCTGATTAAAAAAACTAAATCTAGGAGACCAAGAGGAAGGTGATATTTTCACAGTGCATCTACAGTGTGCATTGGGAATACAGCATGTTAGTGTAGTACACTTTTAATCAGTGCCGAGTCGTGCTATTGCCATCTCAAAATCAAAACTAGCCCACCGTGCAAAGTAGGCTTAGAAATGCCATTAATGCATCCTTCGAACTGGAAGTACATACTGGAACAGATTATAATCATTAACTTCTTCATAAATAATTAAAAACAAGAACAATAAACGAATAAAAACCTTTTGTTAAATGATTATTTTATAATTACAACATTGCAAAATCGTTCATCATATGATGTGTGTCATACCAAATTTAACAGCACATATTTGTATGTTTGTTTGTTTTTGAATTTCGCGCAAAGCTACAAGAGGGCTATCTGCGCTAGCCGTCCTTAATTTAGCAGTGTAAGACTACAGGGAAGGCAGCTAGTCATCACCACACACCGCCAACTCTTGGGCTACTCTTTTACCAACGAATAGTGGGATTGGCCGTTACATTATAACGCCCACACAGTTGAAAGGGCGAGCATGTTTGGTGGGACGGGGATTCGAACCAGCGACCCTCAGATTGCGAGTCGAGTGCCCTAACCACCTGGCCAGCACATGATGTTTTGCTGACAATGAAGAAGCATGTGGTGCACATACAAATATGGGATCATATGGTGCACCAAACACGTATAGATTATTAGCTTTACTTCTTCAGGCTCGACTTTATTTATCGTGTAGTAAGTAGAATTTGTCTAGATTCAGACAGTCACTCAGAAATACCAACAATCTTAATTTTCTTTTTCTTATAGAGATCGATTCAGAACAGCAATCAATGTTCTTGGAGATGCCATTGGAGCAGGAATTGTAGCTCATCTCAGTAGGGAGGACCTCCAGAAGATGGATAAGGAAGTAGATCATCAACAACAACTTGTTTGTGCTACTGCTTTGTAAATTATTTGTTAGTGTAAAAATACTGTAATGTGGAATTCCTTAATTGCTCAGAACCGCCAGTGAACTAATCTGTGAAGAAACTGTATTGGTGTATTTTATAACACTAACAAATATTATAAGTTTAGTAAAGGCACTAGCAGTGATTAACTATCATGACAAGAAAATTATAAATATATGAAACATTTCCAGAGGTAAAAATCTGTGAGATATTCAGCATGCTTGTTTTCAAAAATTATACGTTCAGGTCAAAGGTTTTAAAGGACATTTATAACCAAACAACGAAATACGTGTGATGTTCAAAAGAAACAACAGCAATAACAAAATGCTACTGAATCAAAAGTAATCAATGCTTTGTTATTATCTTAAGTTAACAGAGAATCCTTAAAG